GGCATTCCCTAGATCAATAGCATCTCATCATACTGGAGTTGGTATGAATTCCTCAATTGCAATGTGCCACTTGCCAAAAAAATGAAAGTCCCTCATGTTGCCAAGGTGCACTGGCTCAGTAGGTAAATTTGTTCCTGAACAATTCCAGATTCGGGGAATGGAAGGGAAGGGAAAGGACAGCAGCTTGGTCTTCTGGCTGCATGACAACTTGGGCAGGAAGAGGAGGGCTGGGTGGGGACAGAGAGGTAAAGTGAAGAGCCCCATGATTCAAACTCTTTCCTTAGAGGGAAGATGAGACAGAGAAATGAGCAAGGGCTGGACTGATTTCTCTCATGTATAGCAGTTGCTCAGCTTTTGTACATTTCACTCCTATCCACCTTTTTAGGAATGTAGCACGGATGGCACAATGGGGATTGCTATTCCCCAAAAGCCCTTTTTGCACTGGGATATGTCTTCACACCCTGGCCTCATTCCCCCAGACCTGCCTTTTCAGTCATCCCTTTGCATTCAGCCTCCTTAATGCCTTGTAAACTGGAAGGTGGTGCATTAATTTATTAAATTTCTTTTAAGAATGCTTTCAACTATGGGTAACAGAAAACCTAGCCAACACTGGTTTACATACAAAGGGAAATAATCTCCTCCCTTGTAACAAGAAGGCTTGGGGCAGAGGTCTGGAGAATCAGTTCAGTGTCTCTTAAGTAATGTCAGAGGCAGGTCTTCATAATTCTCTTGGCCTCTCCATCCCATCACAGATGGTTTTATGGTTGTTATATCTAATGTTGGAAGCATGAAGAGGAACTGATACCAATGCATTTTTATCAGAAGGGCAAAATCTATGTCAACAGGCTCCAAAAGAGGTTTCCCTCATGTCTTATTGGTCATCAAAATGAGACAAGCAGAGTAGATGAGCTACCAGAGCAACTATTACAGTAGAGGGACACAACAGAGAAGAGAGTGGGAGCAGTGTTGGGTCAGCCAGACCATAGGTCCTGCACAAACATTGGAAATAGAGTATATCAGTGGGCATAGTGGAAAGAATGCTAGATTTGGTTCTGAAGACCTCCATCAAAATCCAAATCTGCTAAGCTGTATAACCATGAGTAGTCACTGACCAGCTCTGTTATATTGATTAAAATGGTATGGGTTGTAAGGAAAGGAAGATGCAAAACAGGAAGGTGTTGGTAATATAGGTGTTATGACAGGGAGTCAAAAGTGGAGCAAGTCAGAACTCATTGTTTGTTTCAGAGCTCAGTTGCATTGTCCAGGACCAGTTATCTTCACCTGTGTGCTCTGCCACTCATCAACACTGTCTTGGCCCCACACTCAGGCTGGAAATGACTCCAGGTATCTCATTACCACATGACAGGGGACAGTATCCAGAGAAAGAAGTAGGACCAGTCTCTTGCCTACGGTTTGTTCTCAGGATCAGGGAAATCATTACCAGGATCCCCTCTATACCCACAGAATAACTCCCTCATGTCTCCTTGACTCAAATGTCTTTGACACAGAGCAAGAATCCATCTGGCTGTCTCTGACTCACATTACTGGGGAAGAAATGTAGGGGAGACATGTGAATAAAATGAGGACAGTCACCACTTTTCCTGGGCATCTCATAGGATAGTTGGGGTTCACATAAGGTTAAGAATGTGAGGATACTATTCAGATGCCAATGGTTGTTGCAGCAATTTAATAAGATGCTAACAGACTTTTGATGGTATTCCATGTATGGCATGGGTTCCATGTGGTAGAGAGAAAGAGGTCCTAGGTGTCACTACTGTGGATTCCAAGTTCTTAGATTTAGTAGTTGTATGACATTGGGCAAGTTTCTAAGCCTCTTTGAGTTCTAAAATTTCACAAAGATGGCATTTGTATGTATACACTAATGTAATGCTTTTACTCTGGAAAATTTGCTTCTATTATTTCTTGGATAAATTCCTTCTTTCATTTCATTCTGTCCTTCCTGAGATTTTTCTAGAAGTTAAATATGGGATTTCCCATAAAGAACTTTTATGTGTATTATTTTTCTTCTGTAATTTATTCTTTGACTTTTGCCTCTAGAATCTGGGCTATTTGTTTGATTTTATTTCTGTCAGCCTACCTATGTTTATTTCGCTTAGTAATTATGGATTTAATCAATTTTTCCTCTGGCTTTTCCCTTTTTTTATTCTTGTAATTGAGGTTTTATTTTGAGGTAATTTTACCTTCGTATGAAGTTGTAAGGAATAATATAAAGAGATCCCATGTACCATTTACCAGTTTTCCTCAATGGTAATAGAATTCAAAACCATAGTACTATGTCACAATCAGAATACTGACATTGATACACTCAATATACAGAAAATTTTCATCAACACAATGATCTCTCCTGTTACCCTTTTATTTTATTTTTTTTTTAATTTTTTTTCAACGTTTTTTGTTTTTTTTTTTTTTGGGGGGGGGGACAGAGAGAGACAGAGCATGAACGGGGGAGGGGCAGAGAGAGAGGGAGACACAGAATCGGAAACAGGCTCCAGGCTCTGAGCCATCAGCCCAGAGCCCGACGCGGGGCTCGAACTCACGGAGCGCGAGATCCTGACCTGGCTGAAGTCGGACGCTTAACCGACTGCGCCACCCAGGCGCCCCATCCTGTTACCCTTTTATAGCCATACCCACTTCCTTCCACCTTGCCCTGTACTTAACTCCTCACCACCACTAATCTATAACTTTGGATTCTTCATTCTATAACTTTATAATTTCAAGAATATCATATAAATGGAAACACGGAGTCTGTAACCTTTGAGATTTACTGTTTTCACTCTACATAATTCCCTGAGGATTCATCAAGGTTGCCATGTATGCCAATATTTCATTTCTTTTTATTGTTGAGTAGCATTCCATGGTAGGGATGTAACACAGTTTATTGAAGTACATCTGGTTTGTTTCTACTTTTTAGGTATCACAAACAAAGCTTCCATAAACTTCCATAAATTTCCAAGCTATAAATGTAGCTCCCTACATTTATATGTAGGTTTTGGGTGAATATAAATTTTCATTTCTCTAGAATAAATGTCCAGGAGTGCAATTGCTGGGTTTTATGATAGTTTCAAGGTTTAGTTTTTTTAACACATTGCCAAACTATTCTCCAGAGAGATGGTACCATTATATAGCCCCAATGATAATGTATAAGTGTTAAAGTTTCCCCACATACTTGTCAATATTTGGTGTTGTTACTATTTTTTATTTTAGCCATTCTTATAGGTATGTGATGATACCTTATTATAGTTTTAATTTACATTTCTCTAATGGCTGATAACATTACACATCCTTAAAAATGGTAAAAAATGTCAATTGTATGCCGTATACATTTTTCCACATTTTTCAAAAGTAATTCCAAACCCTGAGTCAATGAGAGAGGGTCCCTGACAGAGTAAGTGTAGAGTTAACACTGAGTACAACTGGGTATCTGCAATCAAGGAACAAGTATCATTCAATGACTAGAGCTACTAGGGTACAAAGATTCCAAGGCTTAATATATTTATGATTCATTACAGCTGTGTTCCTGCTTTAAGAGGGAGCTCAGTCAACAAATGTTTATTGATATTTTAGGTTAATAGCCATATAAATGGTCCATGTTAAATTCTGTCCTTGATAATCCCATCCACATTCCTTCTACACGTCCTGGGGAATCAGCACTACCTAGAGGCTTCTCACTGCTTGAGACCTAGCTCAAAACTTTCTTCTCTGGAGAACCTTTTCTGACTTTCTCTCTAGTCTGTCTGTCTGTCTCTCTCTCTCTCTCTCTCTCTCTCTCTCTCTCTCTCTCCTCTCTCTCTCTCTCTCTCTCTCTCTTTCTCTCTCTCTCACTTTCTCTCTCTGATGCTCCCTCAGCACTCTATGCATGCTGCCATTAGAAGACATATCTTTTTAAGGTGTTACCTTAGCTTAGGTGACCATCTCCCCAGTCAAGAGCACAGTGTCAGGTTATAGCAGAGGCTCAGGAAGGTTTCATGAACAAATTCCCACAGAAAGGACACATTTCCAGGTTACTCTGGTTCTGTTTCTATCACTGATGTTAAATGTAGCTGTGAACACAATTATTGCTTTTCCTGGGGTTAATGCTTAAATGGGGGCATTTTAACAGGTGTGTAGTCTCATAAGAACTTGAGATCTCAGCTGCTGAATTAGGTGAATTGGCTGTCTCCAGAAATCATAGCACTTCATTGAATAACATTAATCCCCCTTTGTAAACAAAGAGATAAAATAAATTGAAAGTTATTGATTTAATAGTCACAGATCAATCAAAGAACAAAGCACACTGGATTATCTAAGCATGCTTGGATAAGAGAATAAAAAGTTAAAATGTATCTTGTGTGTTTATATAAGATTCTTCAAAATCCTCTTTTGTTCCCAAAGGTGATTAGGCCTCCTGAATACGAGAAGGACTCTAATACAGCTCCCTCAAAAGATTATCAAAGCCCTTCTGTTTGCTTATCAGAGGTCAGTCTCTACTGACACTTTCTCTAATTCACCTTTCAATTTCTCCAAAGGACAATACCCATTTCCAAAAAAGAAAAATCTTTAATCTTTCTTCTTACTCTTAGGTTAGAGTCTCTAGTTCTTTGCTTACCCACTCATCACTTCTTCCCTAACCCCTTACAGAGGGAATAAGACTGCAACTGAAGATGACTTCTGATTCAAAATGTTTCTAAATATAAACCACATCTGTGTGGGTACAGTGTGGATGCAGCATGGGAGCACATTTACTTTGAGATGTCAATAATGATTGTCCTCAGGTTGCCAAGTAGGAATGTCAGGAGAAGTTCTGCAGAGAGTAGGAAGTGACAGGCCTTGTAGAGAAACAAAACAGTTCTAGAATTGGCTCAAAGCTGAAGATGGGTTTCCACTCTGTAAATCATCCAGACTCTCCTTAATATACTTTCAATTTGGCATGTACTAACCATCACTTCACGCTCACTACAGCATTAGCAACTCCTTCCTTCCATGCATCAGTACCCCCTTACCTCCCAGGCAGGCGCCAAGGGCCAGGGCATACATGAGTGGTGGTGCAGGCAGGCTGACCTCGGGGTCTTGGCTGAGGTTCAGGAGAACAGGAATCTGTAGAGGAAAAGAACACTAAAATCATATCCATGGAAGCCCAGAAAAGCTTCCCATAGTGTGATTGACTTGCAAGATCCAAAGCATTTTTTTTTCACAAACTATAAGAAGCATCGGATGTTCAAAAGGAAACCAAAGTAAACTTCAGAATCCACAAAACCTTGAGTTTGAGCCCACTGGTATGTTTTTGTTTACACCTATATGACCAGCTAACTGGTCCTCTTTTTCCTCAGCTACCCTGACTACTGTTGTGGATCTTAAATGGGGTGCCATCCTATAGAACCTCCTACAGTGGCTGGGACCATAACTATAACCATCTAACTAGCATTTCTTAGCCCTGCAGTGGACCAAGTCCTATACTAACCCCATGCACATATAATTTTATTTAATCCTCAAACATCCTTCTGGTGTATTTGTTATTCCTTCAATTGATAGATGAGGAAATCAAGGCATGGAGAGACCCATATCTTATAAGTGGCCAAACTGGAACCTGAACACAGTTCTCTGATTCCAAACTGGTAAAGTTGTGCTAAACCACTTCACACCAGTGCCCTCTGGGCAGTATTCCCAATCCTGTCTATGTTAATTATATGATAACAGTTATCATAATCAACAATCAGAAAGTAGAATTCTCTAGTCAATCATGCACATTTTGACAAAGATAAATTTCACATTATTGTAATCAAAGAAACATGTAGTAGTTCTAAAGTTTCTGTAACGAATTTGTGTCCCAACAGCATGCCCACTTGTGGCTCTTGTTGCTAATGTAGGAGAAGGAACTGGGAGTAGGGGGTGAAGTGGAATGTAGCCATGAGGTCTGCTTCCAGTTCACTTAGGGGGAATGTCTATGATGTCACTGCTAGGCATCTAAAGGCAGCCCACGAGATGTTACGGAGGGACTCTTGGACCTGTTGCCTCAGAGCAGTTGCCTTGTGTAAATGTCTTTAAAGAGCTGGAGGAGGAGGGTTCCATTGGTAAACCATTCAAAAAGCATTTCCCAAAGTCACAAGCAGAAAGTTGAAACCAATGTGGAGACATATAAGTGACATGTGATTTCATTGCAGTAGAGAATCAGGGGATGGCAGAACCATGCTCTGGTAGATAACAGGTCACCTGATATCATAAAAAGTAATGCCTCATTGTTTATCTAGGAAGAGTGGATCACTCCCCTGTCTTTATCCCTGCAGTGGGACTTCATGTGTATGCTTCTTCAGTGGCCCCTAGGGGGCAGATGGATCTACTTCCCCACCCCAACTGACACTGGGCTTGGCCCATGGCTTGCTTTACCAAAGATAGGTAAGTGGTCTAGAAAGAAGCATCTCACATTACTGCAAGCCTTTCCAGAGCTTCGTGTACAGCCATGAGAAGAGCATGCATTAGGAAGTGCTACTGATCTATGGACTCGCCAGAAGGAAGACACATTTAGGGGGCCCCATGAGCCCCAGCAGAGCACTGACCAGAAGGCTGTAGTCAACCTGCAGACCTATTCACCTACTGTATACACTCCTCTCTCCTAGACTACTGCATACACTCCTACTGCACATCTTGCTCTGCCAGCCCTGCATATAGCTCTCCAGATTTGCCTTGTAAGGCCTGAGAAATAGCACTTACTGTTTGTTGGATCACAAAGGGAATTTTGAAAAGCTCACTTTTTCATTTTCAGTAGCCCCAAATATTTACTGGAAGAGAAATGAGTAACATCCTGGGAAATCTATCTGATGCAAAAACAGAAACTCCTGACACAGGGGGCCCCTGAGCAGTCTTCACAGCATGTTTCACTCTTTGATTTTGTTGTCTCATAATGAACCCAAATGTTATAGATGCAGTCTCTAACTTGAAGTTTTGGTTCTTTGGAGGAGCAAGCAAAGGGCAGCTTCTCACAGCACTTGGGCATCTCTCCTCTAGAACTTTCCCTTACTTTCCCAAAGTGACTGATTTTTTTATGACACATTATGCCCATAGTTTACTCCCATCATCACATATAACACACATCTTCTTCCTCCACCAGGTTGGGACCATATTCTCTGTCCATATTCATTTCTGCCTTTTTTTTTAAACATTTAAATTTTATTCTTTATTTTTTAAAACTTACATCCAAATTAGTTAGCAAATAGTGAAACAATGATTTCAGGAGTAGATTCCTTAATGCACCTTACCCATTTAGCCCATAGCCCCTCCCACAACCCCTCCAGTAACCCTCAGTTTGTTCTCCATATTTAAGAATCTCTTCTGTTTTTCCCCCTCCCCGTTTTTATATTATTTTTGTTTCCCTTCCTTTATGTTCATATGTTTTGTCTCTTAAAGTCCTCATAACAGTGAAGTCATATGATTTTTGTCTTTCTCTGACTGACTTCTTTCACTTAGCATAATAATACCCTGCAGTTCCATCCATGTAGTTGCAAATGGCAAGATTTCATTCCTTTTGATTTCTGAGTAATACCCGATTGTGTATATATACCACATCTTCTTTATCCATTCATCCATCAATGGACATTTGGGCTCTTTCCATACTTTGGCTACTGTTGATAGTGCTGCTATAAACATGGGGATGCATGTGTCCCTTCGAAACAGCACTCCTGTATCCCGTGGATAAGTGCCTAGTAGTGCAATTGCTGGGTCGTAGTGTAGCTCTATTTTTCATTTTTTGAGGAACCTCCATACTGTTTTCCAGAGTGGCTGCACCAGCTTGCATTCCCACCAACAATGCAAAAGAGATCCTCTTTCTCTGAATCCTCGCCAACATCTGTTGTTGCCCGAGTTGTAAATGTTAGCCATTCTGACAGGTGTCAGGTGGTATCTCATTGTGGTTTTGATTTGTATTTCCCTGATGAGGAGTGATGTTGAACATTTTTTCATGTGTCGGTTGGCCATCTGGATGTCTTCTTTGGAGAAGTGTCTATTCATGTATTTTGCCCATTTCTTCACTGGATTATTTGTTTTTTGGGTGTTGAGTTTCATAAGGTCTTTGTAGATTTTGGATACTAACCCTTTATCTGATATGTCATTTGCAAATATCTTTTCCCATTCCCTTGGTTGCCTTTTAGTTTTGCTGATTATTTCCTTCATCGTGCAGAAGCTTTTTATTTTGATGAGGTCCCAGTAGTTCATTTTTGCTTTTGTTTTCCTTGCCTCCGGAGACATGTTGAGTAAGAAGTTGCTGTGGCCAAGATCAAAGAGGTTTTTGCGTGCTTTCTCCTCGAGGATTTTGTTGGCTTCCTGTCTCACATTAGGGTCTTTCATCCACTTTGAGTTTATATTTGTGTATGGTGTAAGAAAGTGGTCCAGGTTCATTCTTCTGCATGTCGTTGTCCAGTTTTCCCAGCACCACTTGCAGAAAAGACTGTCTTTATTCCATTGGATATTCTTTCCTGCTTTGTCAAAGATTAGTTGCCCATACGTTTGTGGGTCCATTTCTGGGTTTTCTATTCTGTTCCATTGATCTGAGTGTCTGTTCTTGTGCCAGTACCACACTGTCTTGATGATTACAGCTTTGTAGTATATAGCTTGAATTCTGGGATTGTGATGCCTCCTGCTTTGGTTTTCTTTTTCAAGATTGCTTTGGCTATTCAGGGTCTTTTCTGGTTCCTTAGAAATTTTAGGATTATTTGCTCTAGCTCTGTGAAGAATGCTGGTGTTACTTTGATAGGGATCGTGTTAAATATGTAGATTGCTTTGGGTAGTATCAACATTTTAACAATATTTGTTCTTCCTATCCAGGAGCATGGAATCTTTTTCCATTTTTTCGTGTCTTCTTCAATTTATTTCATAAGCTTTCTATAGTTTTCAGTGTATAGATTTTTCACCTCTTTGGTTAGATTTATTCCTAGGTATTTTATGATTTTTGGTGCATTTGTAAATGGGATCGATTCCTTGATTTCTCTTTCTGTCACTTCATCATTGATGTATAGGGATGCAACTGATTTCTGTGCATTGATTTTATATCCTGAAACTTTGCTGAATTCATGAATCAGTTCTAGCAGTTTTTTGGTAGAATCTTTTGGGTTTTCCATATAGAATATCATGTCATTAGCAAAGAGTGAAAGTTTGACCTCCTTCTGGCTGATTTGGATGCCTTTTATTCCTCTGTGTTGTCTGATTGTAGAGGCTAAGACTTCCAATACTATGTTGAATAATCGTGGCAAGAGTAGACATCACTGTCTTGTTCCTGACCTTAGAAAAACTGACAGCTTTCCCCCATTGAGGATGATATTAGCTTTGGGTTGCTCGTATATGGCTTGTATGATCTTGAGGTATGATCCTTCTATCCCTACTTTCTTGAGGGTTTTTATCAAGAAAAGATGCTGTAGCTTCTCAAATGCTTTTTTCACGTCTATTGAGAGGATCATATGGTTCTTGTCCTTTCTTTTATTGATGTGATGAATCACATTAATTGTTTTGTGGATATTGAACCAACCCTGCATCCCAGGTATAAATCCCACTTGGTCATGGTGAATAATTTTTTTAATGTATTGTTGGATCCGGTTGGCTAATATCTTGTGCAGGATTTTTGCATCCATGTTCATCAGGGAAGTTGGTCTGTAGTTCTCCTTTTTAGTGGGGTCTCTCTCTGGTTTTGGAATCAGGGTAATGCTGGATTCATAGAAAGAGTTTGGAAGTTTTCCTTCCATTTCTATTTTTTGGAACAGCTTCAAGAGAATAGGTGTTAACTCTTCCTTAAATGTTTGGTAGAATTACTCTGGAAAGCCATCTGGCTCTGGACTCTTGTTTTTTGGCAGCTTTTTGATTACTAATTCTATTTCCTTACTGGTTATGTCATTTGTGTCTGAAAACATTTAATAATTATTCACAAATGACCTGTGGCTGCAGCACTCTATTAATGCTACGTCCACATAGCAGTTAATATAAGAGACAAAGTTCCCTGCCCTCATCGAGTTTACATGAGAGTAAGCAGAGAGAGAGAACAATTTTAATAACAAATAAGGATGTCATAGAAGATGGCAGAGTAGGTAGCTCCAGAAATCCATCCTTCCACCTAAATA